CACTCACACACACGCACGCACGCACGCACACACACACACACACACGCACACTTACACATAAATTAAAGGTAGTGACAGTTCAAAGTTAAAGGTAATGTATTTTTTGTTTTTCAATGCAGTTTTAACTTGTATTACAAACATTTTGAAACAAAGCAAAAACAATCTGATTTAGGGTATGCTTCTTGTAAACAGTGGAGGTAGCAGTATGATGAGTTTAAGTATGGCACTGAGTTGCCCGCACCAGTTGACAATGCCCAAGTCAAGCATCACACAGTAAGTGTTTTTCACGGTATTAGGGTAATCCAAACGTAGCACATGGCAGTCTGGAAGCAAATGGCTGAGGTAGACCCTGGAGACTGTTCTTTGCAGTATACCGAGTCCTGTGTTCATGAGACTACTGTTCAGAGAAAGCTGTTGCCAAAAGCACTTGTCCTAAATATGACATAATTCTTCAGTTAAAGGCCAGTTCCACTATTGTTGTGAATTGTATTACAGACACATTCACTCCTTGATATTTGCATGCTTTACAAAGATTGCAGAAAGAAAGAAAGAAGCATTTCTATACATATCTCAGTCATAAAACCAATTCAAAAGCAGCATTTCTTCGGTGTTACTGTACTGTGTTCCAACACAGCAAAGAAATAATTACTGCAAGACAAATAGCTCATTCAGTTTAAACCTTAAAAGTGTAATCACGTAATGTCTATGCTTGTGATGTATTAAAAAATATATTGACGATAAAATTTTAAATTGAAAAATAACTTTAATCCAAAAAGCGACCAAAACATCACAGTGTTATAAAATTATAGAGGGACCACTGCAAAAAATTACAGTAAACAATTAATTTATTATTGTGTAGAAGTAATCAGTCTTTATCCAGTGGTAAAAACGCAAGCAGTCTCTCTCCTTCTTCCCAGTTTCAGCAAATTCCTGGCACAAATTCAAAACGTTGCTTGTTACGCATGCTAACTAACCTAACCTTGCTTATTTCTTCTTCTGTTATTTTGTTGCACATTAACAACACATTAGCGCACTGCTGCCTCTCACTGGTGAATTAATGTTATTGGTTTTGTTGTGGCTACTTGAATATTTTAAGTAAGCGTTACTAATTGCAGGAAGTTGCTTTATGCAACTGGACGCATATAGAGCAAATAATCTTCTGTTGTGTCTTTCCTGTAACACTGAAACTTGGTCTGTCCAGACCAGTCATAATATAAAATGATAAACAGTTGAACACCTGCAAAAGTAATAATAGGAGATTTTAAATAGGAGAAAACAAATAAAAATGTGTAAGTAAGAAAACACAAAATATATTGAACATATTGAAGAGCAACACACTACATGTACTAGACAGATGTTGTTGTTGTTTTTCCCCCAGCAGCATCAAGTAAATACACTCAAACACACTCAGACGTGCAACTCAATAGCACATGATGCTACACAATAATGACTTCTCATCCAGACAGTACTAATTTGCAGTATTATTCATGCAACAAAAATCAAGTAATACAGTAATAAAATAGCCAATACATTTCAAAAATAGTTTACAACTAGAATAAATTATAATTGGTTTCATATGATTAGACCTTATACCTTTTGAAGCAGCCAGGTTGTATATGCATGTAATTGTGTAGTGTGAACATTTGAAGTCAAGCTCCTCTATCTGTTACTACATCAATAGTGTCACTATATAACCTGGCTTTGAAAATAATGGATCAGAGGTCAATAAACAAGTCATTAACAAAAAGTTTAAAAAAAATGTTTTCATTTGTGAAATATTTTTTAAATGTGTAAATCGTTTAGTTCCTAAGGTTATGTATGATAAGTGAGATCATAACTCACTGAACTCAGAAGGACATGGACTGTAGTGGTGGATAACATGAAACATTCTTGAGGACTCAAGTGCATACAAGCAATTCCAAATTGACTACATGCTTCAGGCTTGCCTTGGTGTTTGAAAATAAAACCACAAAAACATTATCACTATGGTTGCAATTTTCTGGTTGCAAGCTGTACATTTATAATGTGACACTGACAGGTTAAAGGCTACTGACCTGTACTGGGTTTGATTTTTAAACACTAGCGGACTGTGTTGAAGGGAATTCCCGACCAACTATTTGAACGTTATAAGAGAATGGTGTGAAAGTCTGCTGGGCAAATTTAGCTTGTATATGAAAAATTGCATTTTTTAAATAAATCACTTTAATTTGAATCTTAATTAAATATAAGTTGTTTCTGGATATTGATCTAGGTGTTAGGGACAGAAAACTGCCATTTGCTGGTTAGAGAAAATTCTACAGGAATAGTTTTATAAAGAATGTAATATGACCACATATATCCAAGAGAGCCTTACACATACATTCATTTTTCTGTCTGTGGCCAACTGCTCCAACATTTGTAATATATTTTGAGAATTTATGTACATATAAACATTATGAAATACATTAAAATCAATATTCTGTAAACAAATGTAAAAAAAAATTAATAAAATAAATATAACTGATTTTATTTGACAAATTCTTTAAAAATGCTAAATTCTCCGTTGCAGTCACATCTGCATGCATGTGTGCATGTGTGTGTGTGTATACGTGTGTGCATGTATTAGATCTCGCCTTTTCATATCTGTTATCTGCTTTTGTGGCTTATTTTATTTGCCATATTCTATACAAATGCTCTGTTGCAGACACACAGGTGCATGTTTTGTTTATGTGTGTGAGTGAGCAGTTCAATTCCATATTGCATTTGTCCTCTAGTACCAGGCCTTCATTTCTGTATAGAAATGATCAGATTCATTAAAGATAAATTGATTTTATTTGACAAATAAAAGGAAAAAAACTGTTTTCATGTTTCCCATTAATTTTCAATTGGGGTCATTTTGACCCCAAAGACCATAAATGTGACTTCTTTTTTTTTAACCACCTTCAGAACAACCGAATCAAACGTAAGTGTGTGTGTGAAGAAAAAGATACTGTAGAAAAAGTCACAAAATCCTAGGTCACTGAGATGAAGGGAGACATGTTTTTTAACTAAAGAAATTTCAAATGGGGTCAGTGTGACCCCAAGGAACAGATTAGGGTTTTAACATAACTTTATGGCGTTCACTTCATGATGCAGAACATCCATCCTATATGCTGCATCTACAAGAGGCAAGGGATTTTTGCAATCTTGATGCTTGCAATCCATTCCCATTTGAGAAATTGAAAACTTGAGATCTTGAAAAACTCATAAGGTCAGCGACTCGAAGTGGATTTCAAATTCTCATTAAAAAAATTCAATGTGTAAAGGCCACAAAGCTCAAACCACAAGATTGAACACTGTCTTCATTTTGGGGAAATAAATAAATTGTTGCCATTGGAGTACTTGACTCATCTTTTTCTTCACAACCCACTAGAAAAGAACATGGGGAGACAGGTAAGACATTTCTAATCTCATACATTTAATAAATAAATCATTTATTTTATGAGCAAACATAACATAACATCTATAAAAGCACATTGGATCCATTTGCATAATTTGTGATCCTTTCCATAATTGTTTAAAAATTAGCAAAATGAAATAATGTTGCTTAGCAAAATGTGATTATATATATATATATATATATATATATACATAACAGTATTGGGGATAGAGACTGGATTTTTTTTTTTTTGTAATATAAAGCAAGGTATTATGAGCAAACATAACATAACATCTATAAAAGCACATTGGATCCATTTGCATAATTTGTGATCCTTTCCATAATTGTTTAAAAATTAGCAAAATGAAATAATGTTGCTTAGCAAAATGTGATTATATATATATATATATATATATATATACATAACAGTATTGGGGATAGAGACTGGATTTTCTTTTTTTTTCTTTTTTGTAATATAAAGCAAGGTATCATTATATAAATGTACATTACATTTTCAATAAATAAAAAAAAAATAATTTACTCGCGTGCTAAGCCCGCGAAACCTGTCAGCGGGTATATACAAGGGCCCGTGTCCACCGTGCGCATAGCCCGGCTACATTCTGACACCTGCAGCACTGAGGTAAATGTCTTTTTACTCAAACATCTTATTTAAACAAATGTTTAAACATATAACCACAATGTCACGTAAAATATTAAAACAGGACAATTATACAATTATAAAATCTAATTATAAGAACAGTCTGATGTGAAAAACGCGTTTTTTCCTCTCAGGGTAACATCACGAATGAAACTTAATTAACATTAGAGAGTTTAATAAACTGTCCTAAAATTGACTGACTGTCTTTACCAGTAAATTTTACATTTTTAATTCTCACACAGAATGGTTTTCCGCCCTTTTTGTTCCTTTTCCACTAACGTTAGTCTGTATCGTTAACCATAAAATGCCGTTAAATGCCGTTAGGCTGACTGTGTGACATCATTTACGATAACGGAATGAGCAGAGAAGCTCATTCGTTTCAGGATTATGTCTGTCATGTTAACATTACTATAAAATAAATAAAGACACAATTTTAAATATTATTATTACTATTATTTATTATTATAGCAGCCAGTCAACGGAGAAGGGCACCAGTCTCGCTGGCTTGGCTTTGAGCGCGCGAGGTGCCCTTCTCCGTTGACTTGCACTTGTTAGACTAGTTATTTTAAAATAATAATAATAATAATAATCTCAACTTTGAATAATAAAGTCACATGTTTCTGTTACTTAATAGTCGATAGGGGTTTAATGTAATAAAATCTATTCTCTGTTGCATTCTTATCTCATCGGTGCTTTTTCAGATGTTATAGTAGGCTACATATTCATTAATCAGAGCCTTTTTAATTTATACCATGAAAATAACTCTTCTTTTTTCAGTGTGTCTGCCGTCTGGTTTTTGTAAGTGATCAGTCTAGCACCTCTTAATGATCAATAAAAACTGAATAGCATTTTTTATTCATAAAGACATTTGCAATATTTCACAATCATGTTTTTTTTTTATCAGCTGCTGAACACCACCCCAAAGGCTCTCTTTAGAGCCATATCTCACATCGTCTTTGGCTTTGTAAGTATATTTTGTGACTAACTGACTGACACAGTACCATATTATTTGAGTTTGTGCAGCATCCAGTCTTCACTGTCTTAAGAAAAACATTAAAGGAATAGCTACTTCACAACACAGTCTAGCATCCTGCATCTCTGATTTGCCATGTTTAAATTAGTCAATAATGATCAATAAAAAAAAATCTGAATACAGTTTTTATTTGTGCAATCTCTCACACGTTCTGCCATGTTTTTTATTCTTCTCTTTTTCTCCCCTCTGCTTGTCTCAACAGCCGCTGAACACCACCCCAAAGGCTCTTTTCAGAGCCATATTTCACATCGTCTTTGGCTTTGTAAGTATATTTTGTCACTAACTGACCGACACCTTCACATTATTTGGGTTTAGATCAATTAAAGTGCATCATGCAGCAGCCAGTCTTCACTGTCTTAAGACATTAAATTTATGATCCTTTACCACAATTTTATATTGGTAACATGTTTGTAATGTTGGTTAGTAAATAATAATTGTTACTATTTAGATCTATGTAATATTTTCCCCCTTTGCTGGTCTGCAAACAGATCATTGGCATTTTAAGATGTTTTTAACCGTCAGACACATTCTCAATCAGCTCCCTAGTTAAGTAGTCAGGAAACTGATCAGGGAGTCGGCCATTTTAAGGGCTGTCTCAATCACAAAATTCTATCAGTGCACTGAAACGTTCGCTCCCTGAAAAGTCCCACAATGCACCGTAAAATCCAGGGAGCATCGTTGCTCACTATGTTCCCTTAACGGAAGTTCTGAAGTGTGAAATATGAATCACGTGAACAAACTCACCACACATAATAACATGCGAGAGATGTTTTGGAATTAATAATCCTTTATTTAATTATATTTAAGCATAAACATACATCGCTAGACAGGCACTGAACAATCAAGCTAGCATTTAGAATAATGTACGGCTGAAATGTTGCAAGTATATGTAACAATCAAAGTATTTATCATTAGCACTTTAAATAACAATTCAAAAATTAATGTCAGAAATTTTTCAGTTCTGCCATTGTTCATAAACAGTACAACAAGGACGTTGCCATGTCACCATTAGTGTCCCAATGTGTAGTGAACCAGGGCCCTTACTGTCCTTACCAGTGCCCAAATTCATGTACACTATATACTGATTCACGACCTAGGGAGCTAGGGAACTGATTGAGACACACGCTCAGTGTCTGTCTTAAGATTTATCTTAGATATTCATATTTACATAATACTCAACATATTGTACTGTTTAAGTATATTTCAGTGTTGTGTATAGTAATGTGAACAATTGTGAGTAACATATTACTATCCTTTCTTTAAATTATTAGATTTTGCATTGTCCTGCACTGCCTCCTCCACAGAATTTTTTTCCTGCCAACGTTTCAAGGCAAGTAATTTTCTTTAGCTTTGTTTAAAGGTTTGGTTCACCAAAAAAAGAAAATTTGCTGTCTCACATCAGCCAACATGTCTTTTTACTTTGAAGTAGAACATTAAAAAAGTCTGATTCTGTTCCTTTGCCAATTCAAATAAAGCAAGTCAGTGGTTACCATCACTTTAGCCCTTTTCACACAGAATGTGCGTGCGTTCACACACATCCCATATAGGTCCTGTAAAGACACGCGACGCACCATTTTTTACATTGTAATCATGCACCTTAAAAAACCATGCTTGTGCGTTGTTTTTATTTGATCATACCCTATTGCTGAAATTCTACCTTGACAGAAACGCAGAAAGATCCGGTGTCCCGCTGACGATCAAGCTTCTCCAAAACCGATTGGAGTAAAAAAAAAAACTTTTGTGTAGTCTTTACCTCCCCAGAACATATTTTTTTTAAAAGACAAGTGTAAACAAAAGGCAGAGAGTCCCGTTGCACACAGGCGCACTGGCGATCTGCACGCCCGCCCTAGCGTCTTTGGAAAGGCATTTTTCAGCCCAGTAAAAGTAAAATTATTATAAAACAAATAAAATGGTAATTACAAAATTGGAGCCTTGTGCAATAACAGGGATGTTTTTATAAACATTTTAGTATTGGTTTTATAGTATAATGACATGTACTGCAGTTAAATTGTTTAATTAATTTATATAGTTAATTTACTTTTTTTTTTTATATATACATTAAGCCTTGTGCAACGTAAAGGGCATATATTTATGTCTATCTGAGTTAGTTTGGGCTCAAAACATAACAGGCACAAAGAGTTTAATTGGTATGAAACCAAATGTCTAATGAATGTCAAACGTCAAACTAACTTTACCGCCGTTTCAAACAGGTCAGTACGCACAGGTACGCAGTACCAGCACTTTTGTATTTTAAGCTTTAGCGTACATCCTCATCTGTCACCAATCACCTGCACCAGATATAAGCAGCATGCACACATTCACTCCTTTTCTGGTCTTGTCTAGTACTGCTATACCCAGATTGATATTCAACCGTGATTTACTTACCTGGACTCTGCTCCTTCCTTCCGTATCCAGTCTGTTAATACATTCCCTCGTTGCTCTCTCCATTCATCTGATCTGCAAAGATCATTCAGTAACTGTCATCACTCAATCTGCATAACCACTATCTGCTCAGCTGCTTTATCAGTTATTAAAGAGTTTGTTCTGTTTGAAACTTACCTGTACTCCAGTGTGTTTTTCCTGACATGGTGGCAATCAAAATTCAACTGCATAATTTATTCATGCCACAGAGGCCATTCCAAGCTCCTTCATCATAGTGAAGGAAGTTGCATCCTGCTCCTTCATGTCAGCTATGGAAGCTGCTCTATGTTCCCTCGTCGCAGCCATAGAAGCTGCACTCGGCTCAGTCATCGCAACCACTGAGGGCACTGCTATAGTAATGATACCTCCTGACCCTGCCAGGACTCACTATGCTTCTAAGCCTAGCTGGCGATCAAAGACCTGCCGACACTCCAGAGGTATTCCAAAGTTACAGACCGACATGAAGTCTTCTGCTCTGCCAGGACTCCAAGGACCACCAACTGGCTCTCCTGTAGCCCCAGCTCAGTCAAGTCACCTGCAATTTCCTGATCCATCACTATCCAACCTGCAACCAGGCATAAAAACATGCACCACTTATTTGTCAGTGTCTGGTGTCTGACTAGGATCAAGACAGCTTACCTCCTCTTTTCACCTGTTAGATTTGTATCTCACCATTGTTCAGTCCCCTGTCACATCTTCTGATCTCCATCATTGAATCCCCTGATGTCCTGTTACTTACCTCTGTACAGTGGTGTGTGCTTCCTCTATCCTGCAGTTCATGTCCACCTGCAAAAGCAAGACCAACAGTTATTCACAAGTCAACCAGCCATTACCATTGTCATTCACTTACCTGAATTGATCAATAAACCTGTTTGAGTTAATCCATTCTCTCTCTCATGAGCCAATCTCTCACACGTTCTGCCATGGTTTTTTATTTAAAATTTGTATCCCTTTTGCTTGTGTCTCAACAGCTGCTGAACACCACCCCAAAGGCTCTTTTCAGAGCCATATTTCACATCGTCTTTGGCTTTGTAAGTATATTTTGTGACTAACTGACTGACACAGTACCATATTATTTGAGTTTGTGCAGCATCCAGTCTTCACTGTCTTAAGAAAAACATTAAAGGAATAGCTACTTCACAACACAGTCTAGCATCCTGCATCTCTGATTTGCCATGTTTAAATTAGTCAATAATGATCAATAAAAAAAAATCTGAATACAGTTTTTATTTGTGCAATCTCTCACACGTTCTGCCATGTTTTTTATTCTTCTCTTTTTCTCCCCTCTGCTTGTCTCAACAGCCGCTGAACACCACCCCAAAGGCTCTTTTCAGAGCCATATTTCACATCGTCTTTGGCTTTGTAAGTATATTTTGTCACTAACTGACCGACACCTTCACATTATTTGGGTTTAGATCAATTAAAGTGCATCATGCAGCAGCCAGTCTTCACTGTCTTAAGACATTAAATTTATGATCCTTTACCACAATTTTATATTGGTAACATGTTTGTAATGTTGGTTAGTAAATAATAATTGTTACTATTTAGATCTATGTAATATTTTCCCCCTTTGCTGGTCTGCAAACAGATCATTGGCATTTTAAGATGTTTTTAACCGTCAGACACATTCTCAATCAGCTCCCTAGTTAAGTAGTCAGGAAACTGATCAGGGAGTCGGCCATTTTAAGGGCTGTCTCAATCACAAAATTCTATCAGTGCACTGAAACGTTCGCTCCCTGAAAAGTCCCACAATGCACCGTAAAATCCAGGGAGCATCGTTGCTCACTATGTTCCCTTAACGGAAGTTCTGAAGTGTGAAATATGAATCACGTGAACAAACTCACCACACATAATAACATGCGAGAGATGTTTTGGAATTAATAATCCTTTATTTAATTATATTTAAGCATAAACATACATCGCTAGACAGGCACTGAACAATCAAGCTAGCATTTAGAATAATGTACGGCTGAAATGTTGCAAGTATATGTAACAATCAAAGTATTTATCATTAGCACTTTAAATAACAATTCAAAAATTAATGTCAGAAATTTTTCAGTTCTGCCATTGTTCATAAACAGTACAACAAGGACGTTGCCATGTCACCATTAGTGTCCCAATGTGTAGTGAACCAGGGCCCTTACTGTCCTTACCAGTGCCCAAATTCATGTACACTATATACTGATTCACGACCTAGGGAGCTAGGGAACTGATTGAGACACACGCTCAGTGTCTGTCTTAAGATTTATCTTAGATATTCATATTTACATAACACTCAACATATTGTACTGTTTAAGTATATTTCAGTGTTGTGTTTAGTAATGTGAACAATTGTGAGTAACATATTACTATCCTTTCTTTAAATTATTAGATTTTGCATTGTCCTGCACTGCCTCCTCCACAGAATTTTTTTCCTGCCAACGTTTCAAGGCAAGTAATTTTCTTTAGCTTTGTTTAAAGGTTTGGTTCACCAAAAAAATAAAATTTGCTGTCACACATCAGCCAACATGTCTTTTTACTTTGAAGTAGAACATTAAAAAAGTCTGATTCTGTTCCTTTGCCAATTCAAATAAAGCAAGTCAGTGGTTACCATCACTTTAGCCCTTTTCACACAGAATGTGCGTGCGTTCACACACATCCCATATAGGTCCTGTGAAGACACGCGACGCACCATTTTTTACATTGTAATCATGCACCTTAAAAAACCATGCTTGTGCGTTGTTTTTATTTGATCATACCCTATTGCTGAAATTCTACCTTGACAGAAACGCAGAAAGATCCGGTGTCCCGCTGACGATCAAGCTTCTCCAAAACCGATTGGAGTAAAAAAAAAAACTTTTGTGTAGTCTTTACCTCCCCAGAACATATTTTTTTTAAAAGACAAGTGTAAACAAAAGGCAGAGAGTCCCGTTGCACACAGGCGCACTGGCGATCTGCACGCCCGCCCTAGCGTCTTTGGAAAGGCATTTTTCAGCCCAGTAAAAGTAAAATTATTATAAAACAAATAAAATGGTAATTACAAAATTGGAGCCTTGTGCAATAACAGGGATGTTTTTATAAACATTTTAGTATTGGTTTTATAGTATAATGACATGTACTGCAGTTAAATTGTTTAATTAATTTATATAGTTAATTTACTTTTTTTTTTTATATATACATTAAGCCTTGTGCAACGTAAAGGGCATATATTTATGTCTATCTGAGTTAGTTTGGGCTCAAAACATAACAGGCACAAAGAGTTTAATTGGTATGAAACCAAATGTCTAATGAATGTCAAACGTCAAACTAACTTTACCGCCGTTTCAAACAGGTCAGTACGCACAGGTACGCAGTACCAGCACTTTTGTATTTTAAGCTTTAGCGTACATCCTCATCTGTCACCAATCACCTGCACCAGATATAAGCAGCATGCACACATTCACTCCTTTTCTGGTCTTGTCTAGTACTGCTATACCCAGATTGATATTCAACCGTGATTTACTTACCTGGACTCTGCTCCTTCCTTCCGTATCCAGTCTGTTAATACATTCCCTCGTTGCTCTCTCCATTCATCTGATCTGCAAAGATCATTCAGTAACTGTCATCACTCAATCTGCATAACCACTATCTGCTCAGCTGCTTTATCAGTTATTAAAGAGTTTGTTCTGTTTGAAACTTACCTGTACTCCAGTGTGTTTTTCCTGACATGGTGGCAATCAAAATTCAACTGCATAATTTATTCATGCCACAGAGGCCATTCCAAGCTCCTTCATCATAGTGAAGGAAGTTGCATCCTGCTCCTTCATGTCAGCTATGGAGCTTAAAGTTTGCTTTTTCCCTCCCCTCGGGTGGGGAGAGTTATGTCAAGAAGACCTCAGAATATTCTCGGTTCTCTTTGTGGCTCAGGCTTATGGAGCCCTCGCTGAGTGTTTCTGGGCTGAACTCGCGGAGCAGGCTTAGTTCTGCATCTGCTTATAGCACGGATGCGTTCCCCACACAAGTCATCAAAAGACGACGCAACGGGAGTTACTTTCCGATAGGGAACGCTCCAGTTACTCAAGTAACCTCGGTTCCCTGAGATAAGGGAACGAGCCTTGCGTAACTAGCCATGCTACAGCTGCACGCAAATCGATGGCTGTCGCTTCAGTCATTGATTCTGATGAAATGGCGCTCCATGCCGACTTCTATAGCAGTCGGCTCCGCACCCTCTGGCGGGCATGAGCGCCATTGGTTTGTGCAGCTACACAAATGTTAACAAATCAGGCTTTAGTAACAGAGTAATCAGGGGTTTCCCCATACAAGTCATCAAAAGATGATGCAACGCTCGTTTCCTTATCTCAGGGAACTGAGGTTACGTGAGTAACCGGAGCATTTAGCCAACATGAAATGTCAAGCTGTACTAGGTGACAACTTGGTTATTTGAATTGACTAAACATTTAATGCAGCACGAACACTAAATTAAAAAATGTTTTTATGGTGTGGTTGAAATAAGAAAAATAAGGTACTGATCGGTGTAATTGGTACTGAATCCTCAAAAAAACGTTATTCCAACTAAACTTTATAAGTCCATATAACTACATTTGTCAAGCTTAAAATACATTTTCCAAGTACATACAACTTAACTGAGTAAATGCAAAAACCAAACTTGTCCACCCCTGACTTGATTTTGGCAAGTAAGACATGTTCCTGGATCAACATCTTTTGATGATCCTGGATCAACATTATTGTCCAAAAATATAGACTAAACCCAATCCCCACCCCTAAACCTAACCCTACCCATAATTTATTCCTAAAATCAGTGGGAAATGATAGCTGATTAACAAGGGTGTAGAAGCACCTAACCCTGATTGTAAGCCTAAAACAGATATTTCCTGAAAAGTTATATCTCAATTCTGATTGGTTGATTGGAATGTTGTTCCAGGATCATCAAGGATGTTGATCCAGGAACATGTTGTACTTGGTGAAATCACGCTCACCTTGTTTTACAGATGGCTTACTTGAAAATATGGCGAAAAAGAAAAAGAGAACTGGATCAATTTCTGCAAGATTCAGACAGTGATGACAGTCTGCCTGGCATTCCATATGCTTTTGACAGTGACAGTGACAGTGAGACTGGGACTACAAATAGTTTAGACAGTTTAGAATCCAATAGTGATGACAACCAGGAGTCTACAGATTTAGAACACAAACAAAATGATGAAGAAGTGAATGTAAACCTGGAGGATGACTTGAGACAGTGGGCCACAAAAAACAGAGACACAGATCTGTGAATGAGTTACTGTCCGTATTAAGAAAACAAGGGCACTCTTTGCCTATGGATGCAAGGACACTTCTTTCTACACCACGAGATAAAACATCTGTTGGTAAATGTGGCGGGCAGTACAAATATTATGGCTTAGAGAAGGGGATCCGCCAGTTTTTAAGTCAGACAGAGAGTAATGCTGTACACCTCAGTGTAAACATTGATGGTATTCCGCTTTTCAAAAGTAGCGGCATTCAATTCTGGCCAATACTCGCAAAGTTTAGCCATTTTGATCCATTTATTGTCGCTATATTTTGTGGACAAAAGAAGCCCAGTCCCCTGGAAGAGTTTCTTTCTGACTTTTTGAATGAGTACAAGCATCTCCAGAACAATGGGATAAGTTATGATGACCAGACTTACACCATCCATATTGAAGCTCTCATCTGCGATGCCCCGGCAAGAGCATATCTGAAATGTATCAAGAATCACAATTCCTATGAGAGTTGTGAAAGATGTGTAATCAGAGGTGAGCATGACGAGGGAAGAATTGTGTTCAGTGAACAGGAATGCTGTCTTCGAACAGATGAAGCTTTCAGTAGAAAAGAGTACAGCAGCCACCAAACCGGTGTCAGCCCCTTAATTCCTGCATCAATTCCTTGCGTGAGCTCTTTTGTTTTAGATTACATGCATATGGTCATCTTGGGAGTTGTTAGACGCCTCATGTTGTTCTTGACTAAAGGCCCGAACCACTGTCGTTTGTCTGTAAGGCAAAAGGGGGAGATATCCCAAAAACTG